CTGAGTTCAAAGTTCTCTGCTGTGCCACCTTGAAGGCGAAGTTTAAGAAATACATACATACAAGTATGTGGAAAGAAAGAGTGAAGAATTATTATGACACCAAGTGCTCCATTTTGGTCGTCTATAGACAAATAAATGACTAAATATATATGTACATATCTACATGCACATGCATATACTTGTACATATATATAAGACAAAAGGTAACAACAACAATAACAAGAAGTTCAAGTTATTGCTGTACAAGTTGCCGAAAAAGAAATGCTGTGTAAATATTTAAAAAAGTGAGCCACATTTTGTTTGCGCGCTCTTCTTATTGTTGTTATTGCTGCTGCTGCTGCTGCTTGGTGTTGTTGTTGTTGTTGTTATTGTTTTGGCCAGCCGTTGTTGGCTCGCTCATTTATTATTTGTTGTTGTGAACGAGCAGACCAGACCAGACCAGACCAAAAAAAAAAGGTTAAACAAATTCACTTTTTTTTTGTTTTTGTTGTATTTTGTTGCCGTTACAAAAGCGATAACGGCCGCAGCTAGCGGGGGCGTTCGCACATATGTACATACTATGTGTCCATTACATATACATACATATATGTATGTGTGTGTGTGTGTGTGTGTGTGTGTATTGTGCATTTATGACAGTGACAAAGCGACAGCGAGCGTCACAAGCAGCGGCAGCTGCAAAGGCGAGCGGCCAACTTAATTTGTTTAAACAAATTACCAGCATAGCAATGAACAAACACACACACACACACACACGCACACACACATGCACACACATCGTCCATTTTAAAGGTGTGTGGCAGCTGAAACTACACACACACTATTGCCTTGCCCAGCGCCACATTCCCGTTCCCTTTCCCGTTTCCGTTGTGCCTGTCCACAGCCCCTTCTTGTCCTCTTCTTGCCCCACTTTGTGTGGGCGGGCGTCTTATCAGCGGCCAGCGCTGCCGACGATGACGCGACCCGGAGCGGGACAGGGACAGGGACAGCGGCGGCGACCGCGACCACGACCACGACCGGTACGGGCTACGCAAAGTGTTTTAGCATACAAATTTGGTTTTATTTGCCAACGCATATGTACGAGTTGCTTGTTTTTTTTTTGTATACTATTTCTTTTACCCGGCAGTACCCACAAATACACTGAGAAAAACGGGCACTAAATAGGCCAGCAATTTGAAAAATGCAAACATCCTTAACTTTCAATTTAATACTTTAATTTGCTTTTCTATGTTTAAGGAAAACATTCATATTTTGCATTATGAATAGAATTAACAGAAAATTAAGCTACTTATAAATATGTTACTATCGATTTCAGAGCAATTGATATTAAAACTTCCTCGGCTTAGCCTTACTACTTTTGTGAATGATTTAATAGGCTAGTTAGTTAGTTTCTATTAAATTAGTATGTAGGTTTTTATTTTCCCAAAAAAAAATATATATATTGCTGTTAAATTAGCAAAATTTGAATTCTTTTAATATTTACGTTTTAAGAACTATTAAGGTACTTTTTCGAGTTAAAATATACAAGCCATACCATATTTTTCAAGCTATAATCAAATTATACATTTTTTTGAGCATAAATATGATTGCAACTGATTGTCATTATATATTTTTGTATTTCCTCAAATAATGCAACTATTTTAAGTCGATACGAGCGATTATTTTTAAAAGACAGTGGAGCTTTATTTGAAATAGACTCTGCACGATTCTCATTGATTTGTATAGTTTTGAGCATCTGTATAAATGTGGAAAATAGATCTATATCTTTTATAATATTGGAACTATTTGTGTTTAAAATCTTGTTCAACTTTTTTTCTTAATTAAAAGCTATAATTGTTTGGTTGTCAATTTATTAGGTACCCTAGCCTAATAACTTCTAGGAATATAATTATCGTTATGATAATATATAGGTTTTCTGGAAAGGTTGTACCCTTTACCCTTATCTTTTCGGACAGTGTAGTAGGCGCTTAGGGACGCCAACAGGCCAACCAGGTGCCCCAAAACCCTTGCCTTGCCATAGGGGGCTATCTGTTGTTTTTTTTCTTTTTTTTTTGCTGGAGTACAGACACACAGAGACAGACAGACAGACAGACAGACACTTCTGGGCATGACGACCGCTGCTGTTTGGCCCGCAGGCAGGCCGTGACGTTCGTTTGAGTTGAGGGCGGTGTTATATACATATGTACACATACTATATATATATATATATATATATATATATATATATATATATTTATACTCGTATATAGCTGTATATGTAGCGGTTAGCCAAAAGCTAGCGTTGTCTGATAACACCCGCATGCCACACACAAGTGTGTGTGTGTGTGTGTATCTGGACAAACAAACAGTTTGTGTAGTCAGCGAGTGGAGTTGAGTGAATGAGCCGTATGCAAATATAGGCAGACCGATATTTAAAACACATGCATGCCAACCCAACAACAACAACAACAACAACAAAAGTTGAGCAATATATATGTACGTATGTATAGTATGCGAGCGTTACGATTTCATGGGCCGCCAACAGCCCAAAGCTGGACACAGGGACATAGGCATGGACATGGACACACAAATAGTTCACACCTTGATAAAGGCAAGAAGAAGAAGCAAAACCAGGAGGCGAAATGAGCGAAACATCAAGTTGGCGGGCATTGATTGTTGATTAGCGCTTAACGGTGGTTAATGGCGCGTGCCGAGGTCACTATTTTGTCGGAAAGGGTGTACCACAGATAACCACGGCAGTTATCGAGAATTCTACAAACCAAAAAATATATATTCTATATATTATGAATAGAACTCTTCTGATGCGCTTAATGGAAGTCTTCACTTTGAATATCCACTATTGTGGTGAGAAGTAATAGATATGGGAGTGGATTATCTTTATATTTAATAAGGCAATCAGAGTGCAAGGCAATTGTAATCAGAATTCCATGTCATACTATAAGTGAGGGGCGAACATTTGTTTCACAGTTTAAGCAAAAACAAAAAACTTTAACCCTTTGGGGTTAGGAATATGAATAGCCTTCAATTATAATTAATTATGATTATTTCCTATCTAAAAAATTTTACATTCTTTTACTTTTGATCAAAATTTTTTAGATTTATAAACATTTGTTGTATTCCATTTGTAATTAAAAATAAAATGTTTCTAATATTTAGTTGAATTTGTAATTGTCCAATTCAATTACAAAACAACTCCTTTTTTAAACAGAATATTCATTATTTAAACAAATAAGTTTAATAATGTAAATTTATAAATATATAATTTACAAAGCTAACATTTATTTCTAAAATGTACGCTTTCTAGTCTATAATTGTAGATCTATAATTAGTGTTAGTCAAACTTATATCAGTTATGAATATTTAATAACGCTTAGAGATGTTGCTTAGAATTTTTCCACTAACCATCTGCCGTTTGTATAGTGATAGAGTTATCTTTTTGAGTTCTGTTTAGATTCTAACTAGACTTGAAATTGGTTGATATTTGAGTTCAGTTGACTAGTTTGTTGCTTCCACCGTTCGACAGTATGAACGCCTGAATATAAAAGATTGTAAGTGCTATAGACATCATAATTTGCATAAACATTTCCTTGATGTCTGTGCAGCGTAAGTGCGCTCAGGATTTCTAATAGAATGTATAGATATTCTATTATTTGGATTTCTAATAGAATGCATAGATATTCCTTAAGTTGCATCGCATTAAGCTGCAAAGCTTCAACAGTTTTTGCGCTTATGTAATTGAATGACTATATCATATCCTACTTGTGCACTGACCACAACAAATATACATATGTATATAGAATCTAAGTACAAGTATATACTCTCATTTATCCCATATTCTGCTTTGTGGCTTACATTTTGTCATATTGATGGGCTCTGCACATGACTGTACTTGGGGATTATGTGGCGCCCATTTGGAGCTGTCTATGAAGTATGTATGTACATGCATATATATATACTATACAAGTACATATGTACATTTGTATGTATGTATGTTTGGATTTTTGTATGTTGCATTGGGCGACCGACTGGGCTAGAAAGGCCAACTGCAGCGCCCGCTGTTTGCCCACTCACATGAAACGTAACTATTGTTGTTGTTGTTGCTGTTGGTATTGTTGCTCTTGATAAGACATGTTTTACATGCATTTGTAGTTGTGTGTATTTATATTCAGGTCGCCTCAGTTCTTGTTATTGTTGATGTTTTTTCATTTTTTTGTGCTAAAATATTTGTATTTGTGTTTGTATTTTGAGGTGAGGAGTTTGTTTTATTTCCCGAAAGTCAAAGACAGACGACAAAATAACAACAACAAAAATAAAATAAAATAAAACTGAAACATTGGACGCGACAGCAGACCGTGTACATACATATATATATATATCTGTATGTATGTATGTGTGTATGTAAATAAGCACAAAGTGTGCGATCCTATGCGAGTAAGTGTATGTGTGTGTGTGTGCATTGCGCGGGCGGGCGTTTGCTTATTAGTTGTTGTTGTTGTTGTTGTTGTTGCTGTTGTGGTTTTCTTGGTATTTAACACAAGCGCTTATCAACAAAAAAGAAGAAGAAAAATAACTGAAACACAAATTGTCTGCACATTTTCCTTCACACACACACTCACACACACTGTGTGTGCTTTTCTGCTCTTCTGTCCGTTTCTACTCTTCAGATGTGACTCGATTTTGGTGCTAGACCTCTCTATACATAGAGCCCCACTCCCCCCCACTTCTGCTTCCATAAAACACACAAACGCCGGCGAATGATTAAAGCGAGCAGTTGAACTTCCTAGCCTGAGCGACAAGCGGAAAAGTTAAGAAAGCGAACAATTCTAAGAAATTCTATCTGTATTATCTGTCAACCAACCAGATAGAAAGACATACTACCTGGTAGTACATTGGTAAAAAACACAAAAAATTATATGCCGACACGATAAGACACACAATTGGCCACAATTCTCAAAAGCTTTGGTTTCTCTTATATATATTTATATATATATTGGAACACTTACGACTCAGCGAACGGAATCCATGATCCTCACTGATCGACAGCATTTTATTGTACATTTTTGTGGCACATACGAGTTGTTTGTTGAAAAAAAAATTTATTGTATAGTTTTGCAACTTTTAGCACATCACATGGGTTTTGACAAAAAAAACTTGGGTTGCTTGGGTTTTTTTTCAAAAAAAAAATTAGCTTCTTTTTTATTTATTTCTTATTCTTCTTTTTTTTGGAAATCTCTCCAAGGCACACGAAACCGCACACACGTGCACAGTAGAGCGGCGCTCACGGGTAATCCATAAATTGATGAGTGCTTGTCAAACTGTGCATAACTGTAACTGTTTATCACTTTCTTTACACGTTCTCGCTCGTTTTTGTTGTTCGTTTTTATTTTTTTTTGGATCGGACCAGGGTAAGTAGTTCTTAATGTCCTGGGCAGAGCGCGTGTGTTGTTGACCCCACAGAGGTTTCACGTGAACTGACAATTCAAAGTCTTCCTGTGACCGTCGCTGGTCCTGAGGCTGGCGCTGACGTCGACGCCTACTGAGGCTGTGACGCGGCCGTCGACAGCGACAGCAACGTTTTTTTCTCTGTTTCGTCTTTTCTATGCGTGTGCGTGCGTGTGTGAGCGGCGAACGGACGACGGTCGCTCGAGTCGGACTATAGGAAAAAAAATGTGTGTAGTCACCACTACACATACGAGTGGCAAGCCAGGGTAGTTGTTGTTGCCAACTCTATGTGTGTGTGTGTGTGTGTGTGAGTGCGCGCGCCGTCGCTCTAAGAAACAGGGGGATGAAATCGTCTTCTCATCCAAGCAGAGCGTACTGCTCCCGTGGACATACATGTGTACGTCGCTGCCTAAGTTGGCGCTAGCGTCGCTGTCCGCTGTCCGTTGTCCGCTGCCAGCTCGACGTTCGACGTTCGATGCGCGCCGCTCTCTTCTCATCTCACTTGGCAATTGGACCAATGGGTCGCGCTGCCCCACGACGCCGACGCAACCTCTCTGGTCGATGCACATGCGTGCCCGATTCAGATTGAGTTGTTTAAGGAATACCCTAGCTATGGCAATGGACAATAGACAATGGAATACAATCTAAGACTAGATAGGACTAGATGAGTAGTGAGCGGATTGAGACTATCCATTAGCTTCTCTAGCTAAAGCGCTCTCTCAAGCCTGACCATGCTCTTTAAGTAGCTATCTATCAGAAAATTCGGAATCTATTTAATAAAATGAAACTCATATTTGCAATCAATCTCAAAAATACAATCAAAAATACAATCTACACCTTAGACTAGACTTATCTAAACGATAGCCTTGCAAGAGCTAGAGCTGTTGAGCTCCCTAGCCTACCTTTCTGCTAAGCTCGTTGTTAGATAAATGCAGTTATCGAATCTATAAATGCTTTCATCCATGTATAATTCTCAATACACCTTCCACATAAACATTCCCCACATTCATTCTACTTTACAGTGAATGCGAATAATTAAACCCAGGAAACAAGCAAGCAAAACTTGAAAAAACAAAGAGAATATGCAAATGAATCGAGAAACGTTTTGAAACTATGAATACCCAGTAATTGCATAATTACAGTCATTTAGTTGTATGAGCGACACAAGCAAGAGGTATTTAGACAAAAGCCTCCAACACTGAATACTTTCTCAATAAATACGGAACCTCATTGAATTGAATGTTTTTGGATATCAATTCCAATCGAATGAACAAAAATAAAAAGCTCAATGAATTCGACTTTCTGAACATTTTCTTGATCAGCACTCTCAGCAGATAGCTTGAAATCATTTCAGAAAACCTTCCAAAGTAGCTATAGCTTTGGAGCTATTTAAATAAAGTTAATCTATCGTTTTAAAATAGTTGTGAAGAGTTCAGTTTCGGACTGCATCGTGTTGTCTGAAATTCGAAAAACCAAACGGTTGTTCCGTGTCATCTACCTAAGAAAGGATTCAGTTGTTTAATGAAATTGGCATGGGGAATCTTAGATATACATAGATAGGACCAGCTATGGGTGCATAGTATTGAGATGTATTTCTATGTGAAGATTTGAATCATTTGCGCATTGCTTTCGGACACTCTTGGACAGTACTGTATCTCTCGAAAAAAAACATACACAGATGCTCTCGAGTTTGTTGCCCTCTCTCAGTCTCAGTTTCAGTCACCATCGCTCCAACGGATGTGCGCAGCAGCCGCGGCCCTCCTTTGAAAGAGAGCTCGTATCGAAGACGCGGATGCTGCGCAATAAGAAGTGTGTGGCGACCGACCGGCCCCGTTTCACGTCCACCACTCCGGGTCCGCCATAAACATGCGCCTAATAATAGAACCAGCGAGGCCTAACCTAACGCAATGTGCGGAGCCAAATAGCGGGGCATACAAGTGACTGCTTCGCCAATGTGAGTGGGACAGAGAGAGCGAAATATAAAGGGAGAGAGGGAAAGGGAGCGATGGAGAGATGCGCACGAGCGGATGCCGTAAGAATTTTCTTTTGTTTGTTGTGCGTTTTTTTTTTCTTCTTTCTTTTCTTGTCTTTTTTTTCTTCTTCTGCTCTTAATCCTTTAGGGGGTAAATTTTTTTGCGCGCGCATTTCTGCTGCTCGGGCTTACCCCTAAGGCTGGGACGTAGCCGCAGCCTTTCGCGCAGGCGCCTTAGCGCAACAACAACAACAATGGGAATGTAGCTGACAGCATGTAAAAGGATGCTGCTAATGTCCTTGCTGGCAGGCAACAACAACGACAATAACACATAATCGTCGTTGCTTGTTTTCTTTCGTTTCGTGCTTTGTGCGTTTAATCAAACGCAATTCATGGGCCGGGCACGGAGAACGAGGCGAGCCTGCATATCCCATATCCTGCGTGTCCTGCCTGCTTGCAATTTTTTATGCAATTTGCCGATCGACGTCTGTTTTTTCTTAAATTTCCTTTTCTTATTCTTCGCTCTACTCAGAAACTTTTCTAGCCGTGTGTGTGTGTGTGCGAGTTTTTTGCACGTGGCCCGCGGCGCTCAGATTTGCAACCCTCCCGAGGTCCTGCGTCTTCGAGGGTGCCGCTGTGGATCGACGGCTGCTCGGGCTGCCCGAGCTGCCTCCTCATTTTTTGTCCCTTCGTTGCAAAAGTAAACGAATTAGTTTTTTGTGTATGCCTTCGCCCTGTGTCCTGTATACTGTGTACTGTGTCCTGGCATCCAGGTAGCCAGACCGTGTGTGTAACGGCGTTTTTTCTATGCAAATTTTTTATATATTAATTTTTTATGCTCACGTCGCCCAGCATGTGTGTCTGTGTGTGTGTGAATGCGCCCTTGTTTTTTTTTTTTTATTGTTTTTCTTGCTGTCAGTTGCCCGTCTTGGGGTGTTGTAAGATTTTCCCAAGATATGAAATGTAGTTACCAAAAGGGGGAGGGCAGGGAACCGGCGCGGCGACAACTGTCACATGCGAAGCATCCAGGACAGACAGGCAGACAGCGGCAAGGTTTTGCATTTGATTTAGGGAGCGACCCACCCAGGGAACTAACTCTACAGATAGGACCCTCAGTGGAAATGCAAAAAAGCGGCAAGGCGGCAAAGCTGCTGCTGCGCCGGCTGCTCAAAATAGTCAGGATAGCTATTTGGGATGCTCCTCAGGATGCTGCTCGGGGGTAGCGCATTGCATTGATTACCACCGCTTTTTTAATTCAATTCAATTCAATGTGATAAAAAGGAAGCCCAGCAAGAAAGAAAAAAAAATATGTATATGCGTAAGAAAAAAACGCCACCCTGCCTCGACAAGACGGGTAATTGTCGTCTCTGATTTTTTGTCCTTTGGCGCGTTTTTTTTTCAATCTCCAGCATTTCTTGCCACACATCTATTTTGGGCAGATATTTAATTTTATTTCAAAAGTTTTCGTTTAAATGAGCAAATGCATGAGTTTTTAACGGAAAATTTATGGCACAGAAAAGGCTCAACCCCTTTTTTCCGAAAAAAATGTGTCGGGGTTTTGCATAATTTTCTGGTAGCATGATTAGAGTTGCGTGTTGCAGATAGAAATCCTGTGGCCAACTCGCAATGGTCGGGAGTTGCGCATTTGAAAGAAAGGTAACGTATTTCGGAGCAAGAAATACTGGCAGAAGAAGAGTGGAAACAATATAAAAATTATCAAAATAAAAAACGTGCCATAGAAATTCGATCACGGTGGGTAACATTTTCAAAGTAACGGTCATGCAAATGAGCAAAGATTTCTATTAGGAAAGTGCTGGAATAAGAACTGCAGCAGATTAGATATATTGAACAAAAAGTTAATCTATACAAGCTTACATTAAAGGCAGAAAGAGATTTAAATTTACATTGTTCACGTTTACTTTTGCGAATGTAAAACTTTAAGGATTTACTGTAATATTAATAACAGTTTAAACTGAACTTTGCTCATCACTTTCATCTAAAATAGTTCATCTTTGAATAGTTCAGTTTAATACGAGATAGGAGAAAGAGATTAAAATTCTGTTTTTCCATCATCCATGCAATTTTAATTGCAAATGTGAATCTTTGAACAGTTAACTACAATTATTTAAAAAATAATATGAGTATGATTTATCTTCTTGATTAAAATATTAACTGTTTATTGATTTTAACTTTGTTTTCATAGCAATACGCGTTTTTTTAAAAATTATATTGTAGTAGTGGATAAAACGATTAAATTCACGCAAACAATTAATATAATTTGATCAAGTTGGGTTAAAAAATTGATTAAAGTTGATTAACATCGCTTTTCTTTCAATAGATATAGGAAGCATGCTTCAAATCTCTTAGCTTTAGAAACAAAAGTTAGTTTATTTTAGATAGTTAGCTAAAGATAATAATGTTTATGAAAGTGTTTGCTTAACAAATTAATCAACTGCGTCTTAGCAATCTTTCCCATTTAACATCAATGCGCCTTTGTATCATATCCATATTAGAAGAAGGAAAAAGAACTACGCGAAAATTGTCTCAAGAAGCTTGCTTAAAGGGTACTCGGATTGTCAGCAAAATAAATTCTTTTTAACAGAGCTCCATATTCAGCAATGCCTATGGTCGGGCTGAAGACTAT